GGGGGAGGAGGTCTCCTCTTTAATGGAAAAATCTGTGAAATAATGTCTTCAAGCAAGAAAAAAAATGTGGTGTTCTCAGGTGAGCTCAAAATGAAGAGGTACCACTTTGTGTGTCTCCATTTTAATTTAAAACCAGGGTGGTTTTTTTTCTATGTAAAGGAGTTTTAGCTGCTTTAACAGCTAGCAAGAAAAGAATTAAAATCTTTGCAAAGTGTTAGCAAGAAAATGCACTTCATTAGCTCAGTGGGACAGAAGACGTTACTTAAATTTTAACTACGGCTTAATGGTTGGTTTCACTGATTTCCTCTTACAACGTTTTAAAGCTAAAATTGTCTGTCCAAGTGGGTGATCACTTGGATGTGAGTGAGAGCAGAAGGAGGTCGTAAACCAGCAGCAAATGTGCATAAGAACAGCACCATTGTGGAGAAGTTGACAGCAGGCTATAACTTGAAAGAAATAAAATATAACCACCACTTGCTAGTAAGTTGGGCCTTGCACTTCTTACGGAATTAGACAGAAGAAAGAAAAAGTACTGGGGTTTTTTTGACAGAAGTGTCATCTGGTTTTTACAGCGAGAGCCAGATTGTGGGATTTTTGGGTACTAACTGCTTTGATGTGTGATCTGCACTTGTTCAGGACTTGGTTTCCAAAGTGCAGTGTGTTTTGTGTGGCTGTAGTTTTGGTGATGTCAGACTTAAGACAGTGGGATCAGATTTATTCCCCCAGACACACAGAGGTACTTCAGAAAAATTAGAGATTATTTCCACTGTATCTGCTCTTAGTGTTCAGTGTTTATGATACTAATTCACAAATCTTTAAAGAAGAGCAGGTGCACTTGAAAATGTAGATATTTATCTCTCTGCCTCTATTTGTGTATCTATAACATGGATTTCATCTTTTGACACTTGATCAGAACAATTTACACTCTGAATCTTGCACCCTAGAGGACGTTTTCTAATTGTTCTGAACTACAGACAAGTCAATTTAGGAACTGGTAGTGTAGGTAATAAATCCTATTGTGTTACATTTTTATTTCTCCCATTAAAAAAAAAGCAAACAAGTGGAGTTCATAGCAAATAGGGCCATGAAGATACTCATGTGCTAGATGAGAATTCTTAAATGTATTCAGTGGTCATAAGAACTTGGACCTACAGGTGACATCAGTGGGAACTGTGCTTTTGGAAATGCACCCAAAGATTATCTTCAATCATGAAAGCCAGGTCTGTGAAGGGAATTGAGGGTGGGATTGCTTAACCCTGGTCCAGAATGAATATTGTAGTCCTGCAGTTCTGTGAGGGCTTCCCAGTTTTCCATATCTTTTTCAAATTACAATTTCAAGATCTAGCTTGGCAGCTAGTTCCTTGAAGGTTCTAGGGTACTGGTTACCCAGTTTTAACTGATTTTGATCTTGATGCAGAAATCCTTTGTGTTTGCAGTTGGACAGTCGTGGAGAAGGTTTTCTTCAAAAATGCCACAGTCATAACCACAGGTTTTGCTTTTCTTCTCTAGGTCTCTCTCTGCCTGGATCACATTACTTGTGCCGTTTTCAGGATAGACTGATGTGGATATTAGTGCTAGAAAAAGGCTTCACTTACTGTGGTGTTAACATTAAGGTAACTGCATGCTGAGGGCTGACTTAGGAATGCTTGGAAACCATACAGACCTTCTGCTGTTTAACATTTCAACAATGTAACTATTTTACCTGATGTTAGTCAATTTTTTAAGATGTCATTGCTGTATTAACTAGTCTTGCAGTTGACATGCTTAGCAGATGTGATTTTTTTTTTTTTAGTCTCTAACTTGTGATACTACATCTTTAACAAGCTGGCTAATAAGCAGATCTGTATGAGGCAAAGATTGGGTTTTTTTGACATTGATCTGTGTGTAACATTGATTGTAGTGAGTGCTTTGCTGTTTCTGTTGCCTCTAGTGACTATTTGTATTATCTCTAGTTAGATTTATATTTATGTACATTTATATTTATATATTTATAATATATTGTATTTATATAAATATTTCTATTTTTTACAATGAAACATAGACATTAATAAGGTCCCCTCTGAGTCTTCTTTTCTCAACACTAAACAGCCCCATAGAATCATAGGGGTTGGAAGGGACCTCTTCTTATTATCTTTGTTCAGAAAATGTGTGTGGCAAGAAAACAAGTTGCTAGCATTTCAGGATGTGTACTGGTGGAGACTAAACCCAAATTGTTTTCATTTATGCTTTAGGGGCTAGAATTGCAGGAAACATCCTGTCATGCTGCTGAAGCTCACAGAGTGGATGAAATCTTTGAAATGGCTTTTGAGCACCAGGAGCACACAGAGATTGTCTCTCTTAATCACCATTTTGGACACATTTTGACTCCTTGTACTGTTCTACCTGTGCGGCTCTATTCCGATGCCAGAAATGTGTTATCTGGAATAATTGACTCTCATGAGAATTTAAAGCATCTGAAAGATGACTTCATTAAAGTGCTTGTATGGATGCTCGTCCAGTATTGTTATAAAAAATCAAAAACATGGGAAAGCCCAGGCAGTGCTGACAAGAACAAAAAAGGATTATTTCCAGAAAATCAGCATAGTGGTGCAGTGGAAAGATCCAGGCCTCCAAGGGAAGAAGACAGCTTTAGTGTTAATACAATTGAGGACTGGACTGATGACAGTGACATTTTTGATCTTGAACCCAGTAGCAGAATGAAAGACAGAAGAGAACCCGGACAGTTGGGAACTACACCACAAGTACATCTGTCTATTCCAGGATCTGTAGAAACACAAAGCCAAGATGTCCCACAAGAAATGTCACCAGAAGATAAATTATACAGGACTGTTGTCCTTGGACTTCCTGCTGTAGACAAAGGGAGACAGCAAGAAGTTTCACCTCAGGTTGAATTTAGTTGCTCTTACTCAGAGCTATTGAGCATCCCTGAAGAATGGAGAACAGCCCCTGTGCCTTCTTCCAAAGTCAAGGAAATGAGGCAGAGGTTTCCAGAAGAATGGTACCACTTCATTTTGAGCCAACTGGACTTCTTTCATCTGAAAGAAAAGCCTTCTAATTTACTTGAAGACCTTATGAAAGATAAAGCTTTGAAAGACTTGTACATCCATGGAGTGTTGTCCTGTTGTTTTGGCCTGTTTGGGCTGGACAACACGGTGCCTGCCCCCAGCCACGTGTTCAGAGCCTACACTGGTGGCATTCCATGGTCTGCTGGTTTGGACTGGCTCACTGGCAAACCAGAGCTGTTCCAACTTGCATTGAAAGCATTCAGGTAAGGGAAGAATCTTCCCTCAGATCAGAAAAATTAGAGAGTCCTGTGCTTTGAAAGTAAGTATCGCTTCACTAGGAGTAGTTCATGTTAAAAACATATAATTTAAATCTATTTGTAGCTCCTTCCTACACAAATATTGCCTGTAACCCCAGGCAGCAAAGACTGTGAGACAAAGATTCCTTCCTTCTTCCCTTCCCCACAGCAGCTGCCTCCAGCACTGGAAATTCACTGTGCCAAGTGGGGAAAAAAAGGCCCATTTTCATTGTTCCCATAATCTGAGAGAATTGTGATGGGATTAGATGTTGGCAGTTTCCATTACCAGGCAGCAGGAACAGTGTTTGAGGTGAATGAAGGATGTTCAAGCTAATGTGTTTTACATCTGGGTGAGCTGAAAGCATGCCCATACTGACTTGCAGGGACTCTGCTGGCAAGCAGTAACTTTCAGAGTTCCAAGTGCTTGATAACATTTGATGATGCCTTTCTGCCTTTTCTAGCCTTTCTTCTTCCTGCCTTTCCCTGCCACCACTTACCAGGTGGCTTTTTGTGCCTTTCAGATACACTTTTAAACTGATGGTTGACAAAGCAAGCCTGGGTCCAGTTGAGAACTTCACAGAGCTGGTTAACTATCTGGAAGAGTATGAAAACGACTGGTACATTGGACTGGTATCAGATCTTGAGTGGCAGCAAGCAGTTCTTCAGGAAAAGCCATACCTTTTCTCACTGGGCCATGACCCAAACATGGTAAGAAGAGAAATTACTAGTAAGCAAGGTCAAAGTTTGGTTTTGTAATCCACCCCACACCCCCGTTTTAATCTTGTTCCAAAACATGAAGGGTGGGCAGCCAAAGCTTGTTTGTACTAGGCTGACATCACTGTTGTTGAAAATCCCATGACATTGTTCTTCAGATGCAGCAAGGTGTCCTGTGTGTCCTCACAGATGGAAGAACTGAACTGAGGAGACTGGTTTATACTCTCTGTCATTTTTAGAGATGATTGTTTGTAGTATGTAGCCCCAAAGCTTGACCTAGTTCCTTGCAACCAAACTGCTTGGTGAACGTACTGAACGTTTTGGTCTGTTTGTTCTTAAAGGGAATTTACACTGGGCGAGTCCTCACTCTTCAGGAGTTGTTGGTACAAGTGGGAAAACTGAATGATGAAGCTATCCGAGGTCAGTGGGCAAATCTGTCCTGGGAGCTGCTGTACGTGACCAACGACGACGAGGAGCGGTACAGCATCCAGGCACACCCCGTCCTGCTGCGCAACCTGGCCGTGCAAGCTGCAGACCCTCCTCTGGGCTACCCCGTGTATTCCTCTGAGCTCCTGCATCTGCCTTTGTTCTAGAATGTCTGTAGCACTATTTTTATTATTATTTTTTTTGTCTTTTCCATCTGCATGTTGGGAAACGAATGCTCGTGCTACGTTTATACGCTGCAGGTGAGGTTTTGCTCTCGTGTTGGTGTGGCAGGGCCAGACCAGCCCGTGTGATTTGCAAAGAAGTGGTGCTAGCCAGAACCTTCAGCAGGCAGGAAGTTTGGAACTGTTTCCTTGCTGCTGGAACATGTGAGACACCATGGCCTGTGTGGCTGGCAAGCCAGAAGATGCTGAAATTCTCTTCTCCAGTTTAGAGAAGAGCAGCATCATTCTGATCGTTATTTTTAGTGTATTCTATTTTATTTTTTTTCTCGGACAGGTGACTTGCAGTGACAGGTCACAGCTCAATGTAGCACCACCAACCACAGAGTTGGTACCTAAACTGTACATATGACTATTTATATGATTATTTTTTTAAATTCTGGCCATTTTGTATTGGACTGTGTTCGGTTCTAGCATTTGTTATGAGACTTTCACTGATCTTCCTCAGTTTTACTAAGTTATCAGTTATGCTTTAACAAAAGAAGTTGTAAGGAAGATTTTTACCAAAGTCCTTGGTTTGGGGGACAAAGAGAATTTATATAAACAGTATGCATTCTGGCACATTAATAACCTGTGTGACCTACTGATGAAAGGAGTAAACATGTAATTAGAGAAGGAATTTAAGTCCAAATGGATTATTTTTACCCCCTTCTTCCAAAATCCATATATGTTTACATATATATATATTCATAGTTATATGCAACCTAAATCCATGCCACTGACCAGTCTTCCACAAATACTGTGAGAGTTTGCTGATGGGGGGTGAGTGGAAATCCAGCTGCAATTTATTCTTTTTTAACCTTACCACAGGTTAGAAGAGAATTTGGCAACTGGTTTGTAGTATTACAGGTCTCCTTGAAAACAGGGCTGGGTCATCTCTCCAGTGACTTGTTTATCCTGTTTGTTCCCACCCATCGTTAGCACACGAATGTGCTCTCTCTGTAGGTCAGTAGTTTAGTGTCCTTACTGTGGGCAGGTGCCAGGCAGGGTGTAGGTCATTGTCTTTAACCTCTAGAGTCAATTGAAATCAGATCTGCTCTATCACTGAAGTAGTACTGGTTTAGAACACTCAGCATTGCATCATTTGGAGGATGTTTATTACTTTACTCCTCAAGACAGGTTTGTATCAGATAAAGTGTGTCACAGGACTGTGTCCAGTGTACTTGGCTATCAGGTCTTTGTTTTGATTGGTGACCATGTATGACTTTAAAGAAATATGCAAACCTTGTAGAGAAATTCAGAAGGGGTAAGGAAATACCTGTCAAACTCTGGCTTTATTCTAACGTACAGGATGAAATTAATGCACAACATGAATGAAAGCAGCTTTTAGAGGGTGGGTGGTTAGTGTGTGGGAGTGTAACAAAGTGCTGATAAGCTGAACTCCCCTTGCTTGGCCATGAACTGTATCTGGAGGTGGAGAGTCATGGAAACTGATCTGGAAAGGACTTTTAGAGAGCACCTATTTCAGCTCCTTCTCCTGAGAAACTACTCCCGGCAAATGTTTCACCTGATTTAAAATTTTCAGTACCATGAATTTATAAGCTTCTGACTACTTGTCTTCTGTGTGGTCACAGAAAATTGAATTACCTTGGGTTTTTTTCAGCAACAGCAGGTTTTTATTTTAAGATGGCTCTAATTTCTGCCCTCATCCTTTGTAAACTGAATAAACTAGTTGAGAAAAAACTGAAGAGTGCTGTGATCCTTTTCTCTTGCTTTCCTCTGCCTCTCTCCCTCTGGTACCCAACCTTGAAATGTGCTGTTGGGAACTGGCCCTGGTGTTCAGCCGAGATCCTGATTGGTACCAGACAGGAACAGAATCAGTGATGTGCAGAATCCCTGCTTGTGCACAGGAATGAGGAGCTGGGCTCTAAGGTGCTATAACATCCTGTCCCTGCTGTTGCAGGCACCATGTCCTACAATACCTTACTCTTTAATGTATGGAGCCACTGCACACATTCCAGTATGTTTTGCAACAGGGTGACCACAATTCATGCTGATTTTTTGTAACCCTCTTCAGATTTCCTGTTTTGGCAGGACCACAAGTTACAGCCCCTTGTTCTGTACCACACATCAGTGCAGCTGAGTGCCCCTCTGAAGTGTGTGGCTTTGTGCCCTCATGAGCTGTGTCTTGTTTGTTTGAGAGCATTTCTTTGATTTATCAGGAATTTGGAGCACCTTCAAGCCTGGTCTGTCTGCAGCTCTTGTAAGCATGTAATATCTGCTGGTATTGGGATTACCAATGGAATACTAGAACTGGACTAAATATCTAGGACTGAGCTGACTGGGAGGCCACCCCAACACCTTCCCACTGGGAACTGCTCCATGATTTCTAACCAGGTGTGCATCAGCTTTACTGCAACTCTTACCAACACCTACTTGCTTCACAGATTGTGATGTTCATCACACAAAGGTAAGTGTGCGACACCTTCACCATGGTTTTGGAGAACCTTTATTAGGAGTTATAAATCCTTACTAGAGGATTTTTACCCCCTTATACCAAAAACATTAAGTTCTGGAGGCTGTGGAACAGGAATCAGTTTCATGGAACAAAGTGTTAGGGAAGCAAAATTTTCAAATGGCAAATGCTCTGTCCTCTCTGGGAGGAGTCTGCTTGAAACATCAGCTTCCCCTCTGAAAGAGACACCTTCCTCACTTCCCTATCATCTCTACTGTCACTGCTTCCATCTAGTTCTTTCCCCTCAGGTGGTGGCAGGAGCTTAGCCCATGAAGGTAGGTCTGTGTTTACATGTCTAGCAGCAACGGTCCTTAGCTCACGAGAAGTGAATGTGCACGTTCTGATAGACAAGAAACAGAGAAGCTGGTGTGTAAGTGGGAGAGCATGTCTGCTGTGTGCAGTGCTGCCAGATATGGGGGTGGAAGGATGGAAGCTAAAGCATCCTCTGAACATCATCTGCATGTGTGATGTATGAAGAGCTGCTGCATTTTGTCACACAGGCTTACTGCTCTTCAGCACATTCACAAACCACAGCACAGGGGCTGGTGTGTCAGTGACCTTCCCTTACAGAAAAGTGTGAGATGAGACACTTGCCATTTGATCAGGCTTTTTTGTCCCTAGACAGTGGTTTCCATTTTCATTAACTATGTTACAAATGTCACTCTTGGCTTATTCCTTGCTATAGCTGGAAAGTTTCAGTAAGTTACACATGGGCTGTTGTTCTTTTATTACCATTCAGTGATAAAATGAAGAATTTTTCTCACCTGGGGAGTGTGTGGCCTGAGGTGCATCCAAAGGTGTCTGAGGACGCTGCCAACAGCAAGGTCACCAAGCCTGGCAGCACAATCGAGTTACTGCTACAGAGGTACTTGGAGCTAAGGGTTGAATTGTGTGTCAAGGGGATGGTAAACGTTTTCAAAAGTGCAGTCCTTGGTTCCTGGTGGCTGTTGCTGTCCAGCACACTCCAGCACTGCAGAGACTGGAATGGGAACGTGCCCTGCTGCTCTATAGCTGGAACGTGTGCAGGGGCAGAGCAAGGCTGAGCACTCCCTCCAGCGGGGACTGCAGGGGGTCTGTCCTTCCCCACTCTGGCTCTAGGCACAGCCCAACCTCAAGCCTGTACAAAACACCCAGAAGCCTGAGGGCTGTGGGCTACACTCTGCTGCTAAGACAGCTAAAGATTAATTACTTCTCAGTGCCAGAATGACAGTGATTTAGCCCTAAATACCCACAAAGATGATGATACATATTTTTGTTCTTGGACTACCTGTACAGCTGCCCTGGGGCTGATGGCAGAGATGAAATATAATCTCCTTTTCCCAAAGGAACACTTCACAAACACAGGCTACATATCCTTACCCTTTTTACCACAAGCTTCTGCTTTTGGATTTATTTTGCTCAAGCTCCACTAGGAATGGAAGTGAAGGAAACAGGATCCTGTGGGTATGTAATTTTTAGCCTGCTCACCAAGTATTTGCCAGTGTCATAGCAGCAGAAAAACAAAATCATACTGCCTGGCCTCTTCTGTCTCAATTCCTATAAGCTTAAAAATTCAGTCTGTGGGAGTTTGACATGAACAAGTATGTTTAGAGATTTTTATTTAGTCAAATGTGTATGCAGCTTGATAGATTTGTCATGTTACAGGATGACAAAGGTACAACAGATAAAAAAAGATTTTGTTTGCAGTTACACAATATGAAAAACTTGTCAGCCTTAGCACAAGCAGGATTTTGTACACACTTGTCCTTACTTCTTCTTTCTGGAGTAAGAGGCATCAGCATCCTGGAGTGAGAGTAAATTAAATCAGTATTTCCCACCATTCCTGATTTAAGTCCTTCACCTACAGTGTTAGTTTGCTTGAAACAGCTTGTTACAGTGGGTAGTTACACTACAGTGTGGAAACAGGAAGTTTTCAGGTCCATGTGCTACTCTTATTTTTGCATTTCCTGCTTTTGGAATACTTTGAGGTGGTCGTTGGCTTTTGTACCAAGTCCAACAAAAATAGAGTAAGAACCAAATCCATCCAGCAGGCAGCACTGCAAGAACAGCACACTGCACTGCACACCTGTCTGCAGGGATGTAAATGTGAGTGATGAGCCCTGACAGACAGTAATATTGCCCAGGGTACTTCTGGGAGGTGCTCAGGTTACTGCCTGATATAAAACTAGACACAGCAAAGGGAGGAAGAAGTACCAAGGGAAAGATTTTTCAACAGTCTTAATTCCCAGCTGCATTAAATAATGGATGTTAGAATCTTACAGCTCAGCTCTGGGTTAACTGTGATCTGAACTTGCAGCCCCTGCTGATGAAGATGAGAGCAGGACCTTTGGCACCACACGTTGTGCTGACTTCACTGTGCTGTGGCCAGGCTGCAGTAACTCTAGACTACCAGGCACACAGCTCTGGAGCCCAGCCTGGCATCAGCTGCCAGGGAAACGAGGAGAGGAAAAAGAAGCGGATCCAAAATGCAATCCTAACGTTCCCGCAGCTAAAGAGTCTGTCAGCAGAATGAAACCAGCAAGCAAGCAGAGAGAGGAATAAACCTACCACTCCACTCTTGAAGTTCTGTATCCTCCTCTTGCCCATCCTGTTCATCAGCCACCAGGCCCAGGTGGGTGCATATTGCCAGAGGTAGCACACGGCCAGGTAGGGCTGGTCGCTGACCCAGGCCTCCTTCAGGTCGTTGGCCATGCTGACCAGGGTGAGCCGGACACAGCGGTTGGTTGGCATCTTGTGGGACTGGTCACCACTGTTCTCTAGGGACTGGAGGGAGGAGAGAGCCAGGAGGGATTAGAGCGGGATTTGTGTTTGGAGGGGAGAAAAGGCCAGGCTCTGTGCAACAGGCAGACCCTTCCCAGTTCACCTACTGAGCAGATAATAACCCAGCCAGTACAGCAGAGACTGGGGAACCCAGCCCTCACGGTCCTCAGTCTTTGGTTTGGGAAGACTTAACCACCTTCCCCTTAGCACATGCTTAAATAAAGCACCCTTACTAATTAATGTCTGTCTTGACTGATGGGTCAGTGGTTGAAAAAGTGGATCTCCAGACTGTCCTGGCTTCATGGAATCGATCTATGGGAACAGGTTACCCATGCTGAGAAAGGGGAACTTCCTTCTTCCCAGCTGCCTACCCAATTATATGCTGCAAGTTGCTCAGAGACTAAGTTAGTAGATGAGGCCACATTCCCCATGAACTTAGAATATTCCTGCCAGCCCTGCTCTGTGGACAGCCACCTCAAACACAAGAAATGCAACAGGTTTCTTCAGTGGCAGGGTTGTCTTCCTTGAACTCTGGTCCACAAGTATCACTTGGTGAATGTAAACCACAGCCCTGGTAATTTACATGCATTTCACTCCAGCAACAACAGACTGCTCTATCAATCTGTCCTCCTGTTTCCCAGAGCAAAAGCAATTCTGGTCTAGATTCAGGCTTCCTCCTCAGTCTTTTGCTGTGCTGAAATCTGAGGAATTTGTTTTGCAAGCTTTCCAGATTGCTCAAAGAGCACATCTTTCCTTTCATGGAAGTAGGAAGTTTTGCAAGCCAAAAATCCTTTCAGAACTTGACTCAACAATGGGAGATAATTATTTTTTCTGCCCTCATTTCCTCACTGGTAGGTTATCCTGAGCTTTAAATCAACTGAATTTAGGACAGATCACATTTTGATAGACCATAGCAGCAGTTTTTGCCAGCTACTTTGTTAGACAGCCTTTATTAAAAGCAATTGTGCAGTTGGAAGGTTTTGCTATTTTCTCCTCGAACAATCACTAACAGGACAAGAATGCATGCCTGGCATCAGCTGACTCCAGTGGCTTTGCCAACAACAGTGTCAACTGAACAGGGGACATCGTGATTAGGGCAAACAAAAAGCTACCTGTGCAGAAAGGACAGGATTCTGCATGCAGAATTGTGTCCAGAAAATCCTGGCCTTTCCCCCAAAACTGCAGCAGGGTGGCTGGAACACGGAATGTTACTAGACTCAGGTTGTATGTGTTGGAAGAGAGAAGGCATGACAATAACCTCACCTTATTTTCATTTGATATGGACTTGATAACACACAGAAATTGCAAGACTACACGTGGTTCTCCACTAATCAAAGCATTTCTTAGTAACAAGATGAGGTTAGTGTTTGCTATGAGGAGAAAAAGAAAACCACAAAAGGATGCCTGGGCCTGCAGCAAAAGTTGTCATCACAACTTAACTGAGTCCTCACCTTTGCAAGATTCTCCGTAAAGACATTTTGTATGATCTTAGACTGCACAGGTCCTGGGCATATGTTGATGATACTTATCTCAGGGTAGTCAGTCAGCTCAGTCCGAAGGGAATTAAAAAAACCCTAGAAGAAAAGACAACCATGTATTCTTCCTTTGCCATATTTCCATATGCAGCAAGGCCTAACTGACTACATCTTTCCACTGTAATTCTAGGCTAGGAAAATAGCAGGATTCCACCAGAAGCAATTCCGACTGCTTTGTTTGACTTTTTGTGTTAAGTGGCTAATTTGAAATTTCATCTGCAATTACAGGCATCATCACTGTATCAATCACTGAAGAATCTATACTTATTGATTACACAATAATGTGGCTCAACCACAGCCAGACTCTGCTGTCCCTGTACTGAGGACAATCCTCACTGGAGTTACCCACAGCTACAAGTGCTCAGCCCCAGTGTTTGGATAGTGAAAGTGCCACCAACAGTCAGAACTGCAATATCATGGAAATTATATTTCACAGGTGAATGACTCCTCATGGTGAGATGAAAAAGTTTAAGTTGTTTCTGTTTAGTAAATGGCACTGGTTTTATATAAGAGAAGGAGGAAAACTTTTCAGTTTATTAAGCCGAAGTTGCAACCCAATATTTTAGGGGCTAATTCTGCACCACTGAACCCACTGCTGAGCGTGAAAGTTACATCCACATAGACACAAATCTTATTTCACTCAGGAACAGGCTACCAGTGTTTCCTAAGTTAAACTATAATTACAAAAGCTACATGTATTTATTTTCTTTAAGGTACCAGGACACAAACTTTTGTAATCTCTGTGGCAATTCACACTTAGACAGCAACTATTATGGGGGAAGACAATTCCCACCAGATTTGCTGGTCAAGCACTGCAGAGCTATGATTTAGCAAACACCATATCATGTCTTACCTTTGACCTGGCCAACAACAGTTCCCTGTATTTATTCTAACAGATAATATTATGTCACAACAGAGGCAGAGAGTGAGCACAGGGTGATAAGTTTTTACTGCAGTGGGAGAAGCTTTATAACTTGTACCCCCATCCATCTTAGGAAGAGGGCTGGTTGACCCACAGCTCTAAACTGAATTGCAACACAGTCAGAGATGCTCCTGTGATGACACAGGAACAGTTGACTGGGGCAAGCCACTAAAGCCAGGCAGTGAGTTGCACACCAGTGCACACACACGGGCTCTCATTTCCCAATGGCTCTTGACTAATTCCAGATTATAGATTCCAGATAATAGATAATTCCAGCCTTCGCAATTTGGTTCTGTAAAAATGCTGGCTGTTTATTTAAAGTTCTAAGTACCTGCAGGCCCTGCAAACACCATCAAATCTTAACAACATGTTATCAAAGCCTGGAGATGTCCAACTTCTGGAGGCTTAAACTCTAATATTAAAGACACATGCCCAGAAATCTGCTCTGGACACACCAGGAAGCATTTCAGATCTGCCAACCACCCAGTTGTTTTGGATTAAAAACCTGAGCCCTCCCCTAGATTACCTCCTGCTCTGAAAGAAGCCTCCTTCTCCACCCCTGGTGCACACCTTCAGATGGGGCACCTCACAGCTGTGCTTTATCATAGAATGGTTTGGGTTGGAAGGGACCTTCAAGATGTTCTGATCATCAACCCCCTGCATGGGCAGGGGCACCTCCCACTAGACCAGGTTGCTCAGAGCCTTAATCCAACCTGCCCACTTCCAGGGATGGGGCTTCCACAACCTCCCTGGGCAGCCTGTTCCAGTGTCTCACCACCCTCACAGTGAAGAATTTTCTAATCTCCAACCTAAATCTCCCCTCTTCCAGTTTTAATCCATTCCCCCTTGTCCTCACCCCCCTTATGAACAGTCCCACCCCAACTTCACCCATGTCTCCAGGTTAATGCTACAGCCCCAGCTAGCACTGTCCACATCCCCTCCTTTCCCTCTCAAAGACCAGAATCTCACATACCCACAGGCCCCTCTGGAGGCTTTATATACAGAATATACAGGTCCTCTAACTCCAGCACTTTGGTATCCAAAGGTAGGTGCTATGAAATCCCTCCAGTTCCTCTCAGAAGAGAAGCTTAGCATTTCCAAGGAAGAAAATAAAATGCTCTCTTATTTAAATTCAGGCAGGACAGATCCAGATTTGGGAGCAGTGAAGGAACTCAAGTGCCAGGGGAAGAATCTTTGAGTGTTTCCTCCATGCCCAGATTGAAGCCAGCTCTGACCTGCAGACACAGGGTCTGTGAAACAAGAACTGTTCTAAGCCTTTCCAGCTTAGTGACCAAACCCTAGAAGATGCAGAAGAAGGCAAGGCTGAACTGAGTCCTCCTATGACAGAAACATTTAGAAATTCCCCTAATGAGCAGCACGTGAACAGAGAGTAGTGGCTGCTGCTCAATGCAGTCCATGTGCTTGGCATGAAGCACCACTATGCTTCATCTTATTTTTCCCCTTCCCTCTCTCTAGCTGTTTCTTCTTGGTAATTGTCAGAAATGGGCTCCTGAGCTATCTGAGGGAGCTGCCACTCCTGCAGACTTCCTGTACCTCAGTTGTACTGTGAGCTTCTATATTTCAAACAGCTTTTTGAGGGGGGCATCATGCCCCCATCTAGCCATAAGTCCAGACTGATAAGAGACTCTCAGACTGAGTCTTTTCAAAATCTACATTTCAACTCACATTTTAACACCTGCAATTAGTATTTGTAGAATTTCTGTGAAGGAAACAGGAGATGTGGAGTCTGGCCTGCTTATTGAGCAGAGGCAGAAACTAACAAAGCAGTTCAGTTGGTTTAATTAACTCCCAAATTTTAGTAAACCATCTCTTTAAAGCCTCATCTACCTTCTTGATCTTGAGGTCAAGATCATGAGATTCAGAGTTCTGAGAATTTTTTTTAAAGCAACATGTGAATTCCTTGTGCTCTGCAACCAATTAGCCATGCTAAGACCAACAGCACCACGCCCAAAAGATAATTCAACTGAAAGACTGCTTAATAAATAAAGGGGCATAAAGGGAATTCACCCTTCTGCTCATTGCATTCTTTTAGCTTAAATCTAGGAGGCTGGCAGCAAAGGCTGGCCTCTAATGGGCAATTTCACTGCTGCCACTCAAATGAAGAGCAGCAGAGCTCTCCCTGTCACGAACCACAAACTTTTTATGAGCAGAGAGACCTGTCACTGTCTTCTACATCTACATTCTCAGAAGTGTCTAGTGGCTTTGCAGAGTCAGCCACTTGTTACATTTTTGTTGCTGTTAGCCAAACTGTCAAAAATATATTGATCACATAGCTTAAGCAAAGTTATTTAATCTGTTTATGTGCTTAAACCCAGCAGGGAGTAAGATCATGCCAGAGTTTAAAAGGATCACTGAGAACAGCTGAAGTTTATTTTACAGAGATCAAAATGTACATTAGCAGGAAATCAAATAGTGGTGAAAGACAAATATGTCTAAACAAATTTACTAGTTAAACAAAGGACTCCTCAATGATACAGGCAGTCTTTCCCCCAGATATTTTTCTGAGCTCTTCTGTTGTTCCATGCAACTGAGACTACTTTCAAAAACTCTCTCTGAGCAATATTGAAAAGGGAAGTGTTCTGCAGAAGATGACTTCCTAAGACACTGGGAGCTGACAGCTCTTTCCACAATAGCAAGACTCAGAACTGCTGGGAAGATTTGTTCAGATGTTCCCAGCTAGATCAGGAATTCTTGTTTCTCCAAGTAGACTGCTTTACAACTCACTGTTGTCACCTCACTGTCCTCAAGATTTCCTTAAAACTCTCACCAGTGACTTGTCCTCCCTAACTGGATTAAGATGAGAACATTAGGGCTTCTATATGAAACACAATGATCTTCTGATTTAGATATTCCTTCATCTGAAAGCCAGAAGCTAAGGTGTTATGGGAAGTGGCTGAGAAGTCACTGGGAAGTGACTACACAGTGGTTAGGCCCAACTAAGATGGCACCTGAACTTCAGTCAGGAAAATAAATCTACACTAGCAGCTGAGACATGTCCCATTTCAGCACAAATTATTTTTACAAGATTTTCAAAACCTGGGCAAGTGACACATGCTGTGTGCAACTTCAGGGGAGACTTGAGTTTTCTGCACAGAATAAAGTCCTCTGCCACACAGCTAACTGATGCTGGTCTATTACACAACAAGACTTAATCCATCTCAGAAATTGAACTTACCTGCAAAGCATGCTTGCTGGCACAGTACCCAGAGGCAAGAGGAGCTCCCATAATACCCATCACACTGCTCACAGTAACAATCTTTCCTCTTTTCCTTTGGATCATGTGATTCAGGACATGTTTTGTTAAAGAGATTGTACCTAGGTAGTTGAGTTCCATTATGGCACTGAAGACATCCAGGTTTGTATCCACAAACAGAGAGCGTTGGGAACGTCCACCATTGTTGACCAAAACATCAATCTCAGGAAAGACACAATAAAATATTAATATAACACATTTCCTCTAATATTTGTGCTTCCTCAGGCATCTGTTAAGTGATTATTCTCTTCCCTCTAGTGCTGTCTCTGCCACATGGAAGTAAGATGTATCAGCTGCTGAAGAAACATCAGCAGCTCCTCTCCCCCACCAGACTTCCCCTTTGAACTGAAGGCTGGATAATTCTGAGCTGAGTCAACAAAAAAGATGGTGTTTGATGCCAAACAAGGTTAACTCCTAGTACAGGAACACTGGCAGCTGAAAAGTTGTTTTCCACACAACATTTTTTAACTCTACTGCACTGTATCAAATCAATGCTCAGGTCCCACAAGGTGACCTCTGAGAATAGATTTTATGCAAAACCAAAAACCAACTAGAACAGAAATAACAAATCTAGTACCAATAATTTCACTGTGAAACCAAAATATCAAGTTGACGTCAATCAAGTTCATTTTGACTTCCTGGAAATGACCAGTGATCATCTGTTCATTGCTGCACCTCTGCAAAGCCTACTGAAACCCAGAAGCAGCAGAAGGGATGGAAACCCAGGTACTTCTTTAATACTGAAACTTAAGAAAGATGTAGGCACTGGTCAATTTACCACACCATAGAACAAAAGTGAAATATGAACATAAATGCAGGTGTAGGAGACAGAGAAGTCAGTTTAAACCCAGCAGCACAGCTTACCTTGCCAAAATGCTTAAGAACACTGTTGGTTGCAGCTTGATGGGAGCTTCGATCAGTCAAGTCAAGACGCAGAACAAGGATATCTTTATCACTCAAGTTGCTCATCTCTAAAACCAACCATAACATGAATGAGATCCAGTAAGACTGCTGACATAATTGTGGGAAATGCAATGTGCTTTTAAACACCACATTTTCCCTAAAAAGACACCAAGAAACCCTAACATTCAGTGGGAAAGAAAATGCTTGCTTTGTTTTCACTTCGATCTCCACAGAGAATCCATTTTTAATCTGTTTCTACCAAGTCTTTCTTTTCTCATCGGTAGGGTTTTTTGATTTTGAAAAGCTTGACTTTGTTATACAGGCTTGTGGAGCACAATATAGACAGTTCAGTTCTTCAAGTAAATTGCAATAGTGGGCAGTAACATGCAAGAGGATAATTTGATATCAAAATTCTCCACTGAGCCATTCAGAAGCACAGCTTATTGGCAGCCTGAACACTCTGCTTGTGTGTTAACTGGTCAAGTGTGGTTATTCCTGACAATAGGACTACAACAATTTAGACGCAAAATACAACATATATAGAGGAGAAGCTATGAGGCAAAGCTTAGAGAAGCTGGATGCTTGGAAGAGGTAGAAGGAGAAGGTTTTTGTTCAACTGACAACTTTTAATATATCCATCTTCTGAAATAAAAGTCAGCTGTCATCAAGTTCAAGCCTTCATGTTGAGTGTTTCTACCACTGTCTCTTCAGAACAACTGACCTTTTCCATATAAAATATTTCTTGAGCAGTGAGTAGCTCCCCTGGGCTTTTGGGGCAGATAACTCACACAAATAAAATCTTCAATGTTAATCTCTTCAGATTTTTTTTAACTACATATAACATGATTTTTTTTTAACCTTATTTATACTTGTTTAATAGCACTGGTTTTGTTTCTAAATTGATTTGTAAAGACAACTAAGTGTCCCTGCTCCCCTTTAAGCAGATGCCCTCTTTAGAGAGCCTAAGGCTGTGATTTTTCAGTTGCTACTTCTTGCATATACAGGTAAGACTTAACTTTGTTTTCACAGTGATGTACAAATAAGGAGGGAACTTAAATCCAGAAGTTGCCTGTTTAAAGCTCACTAGTATTTAGGCTACTAGTTATAATAAACCCATCTGCCTGGTTTAAAGCTACCAGCATTTCCACGTATTGCTCCTTCCAACCCCTCCATGTGCATTCTCCCCTCCATTTCTTCCAGAAAGGCAGCAGTAAAAAAGTCTGAACTACCCACTCAGAAACACACTTCACCTCTTGCTCCTTCAGGCAGATTCACAGAGTGGAAGCCTTCTGGGATGTGATGTTTCTGCCATAGATTAATGAGATCACACAGTCAACCCAGCCAAGAAAGCTACATGGGGGAAAGGAAAAAGGCACAGAAAGAGACACAGACTGCTGATCAGGAAGGAAGTGGTCTTTTGTGTGACATCAGAAACTTCTGACTTCAGGAAATACCAAACCAGAGGCCTAGTCCTTGTTTTGGTGCAAGCAGGAGGCCCAGTTTGACTCCCATCCCCCAAAGTCCCCAGACCATACATCCTTATCAGCCTCCTTACTTCTTTTCTCAGGTGAGGAATCCTTGCCTAGTCACTCCTCAGGCAGCTCTGACAAAACTCCACATATTCTTGTCACCCTTTTTCTGAACAACTTCTACTGTCCACTCGTCCCCTTGTTTTTCTGGCAGAGGAGCAGAACTGGGCACAGTGTTGAAGGCATTTCCCAATACCTTGCTGGAATGATGTTCTCCATTCTTCTTACTAATAACCCCTAATATTTCTCTTCCTTTTTTGCCTGCTACCAAACTGATGTTTTTAACAGAACAATTAGGATAATACAGAAAAACACCCATTCCCAAGTGGGAAACCTTCGTTAAGAGTTCATTGTTTAACATAGCTGCTAACATCCCTTAGTTAACATCCCTTAGAGAAGTGTCTCTAGCTGCAATGTGATTTGCACATGGTCACCAGCAACATCTCTGAAACTGAGTGCTCAAAGCTGAATCTACCCAGAACAAAGGCCACTTTCACACAGCTCTCTGTATTTTTGGAATGTCATTTAAAGTCTCCTTAGACAGCAACTTTACACTACACAGCTTCTCAGCAGGCTCAAACTGCCCAACTGCTGAGATCTTCTGATTGGTGTTTTCCTATGAAGCAATCATGGCCTGCCTCTTGCCTATTAAAGTCATTAAGTTTTAGTTACTTTTTAACTAAAACATGGCTACCATCACTCAAAGCTAACTGGTGTTTTGAAAGACAGCTGCCTAAATAATGCTGACTTAATATTTTGTTAGAACATCAAGTGTACACTTCCTTCCTCTGGGATCCCCTCAAAGGTTTCAGATCAACAACTCTTTTCAATTCATGTTAATCAAACACAGCAGTTTCTCATAACACAATAAACACTATCACTCAGCATAAACCCTTCAGTTCACAGCCCTTCAGCACTTCCTACTATTTCTTTCTTGTATAATGCCCTTAAAGAGAACATGAGCTTCTAGCAGAGGTTGAACAACATGACCTCCTGAGGTCTATTCCAACCTTAATTACTGTAAAATTCTGTAATTTATTGATTGTCTGTCATTCATTTGGCCTATCTATATTTAAATCATACTTGAGCTCTGTTAAACTAAAAAAAAACAAACCCCACACCTCCTGTCCATTTTTTCTTTCCTTTTTAGGGCTTTTGAGAGAAAACAACCTGCAAAATTACTGGCGAAATTCAATTCATGTTGCAAAGAGTGGTTGGGAGAAGAAATGCAGAAGCCACTTGCAGGAAGCACGTAAGTTATACAAGTTGTTTTCTCTCCCTCCTGCAGAGAAGTGTTGAGTTGGCATCTGCATGACTGAACAAGTATTACCAGAGCTTTTGTGGTCCTTCCCTTCTCTCCTTCAGCTTGTAAGCAGTGCAGGATGCACGAACAGGTATTGTAGGGTGATGTCTGAATTTTTAACAAGTTAAATGTGTTTGCTTCTGACACAAGTATGAAAACTATCTAGTTAAGTTGCTGCTGTGTATAGCACCTGTGGGTGGCACATTAAAGCATATCAACTCCTATTATGTCATGTAATTCAGACAAATTCAAATTGATGTTTCATGTTGCAGCTCCATCTTAATCCACCCCATGCTACTCAAACTACTTGGAACACTCTGGAACTCAACTTCAAAAAGAAAACATGCAGGTGGAAGCAGGTACAAGTTACCCAGGAAGCACGTGGACCCACTACCCAAGCACGCAGGGATGGAATCACAAAGATCAACACTCAGATGGAGTTGAAACTGGTGAGGAATGTGAACATCAACAAGGGTTTCGTGGGAACAGCACCAACAAAAGGAAAACCAAAGACAGAGTGAGCTCAGAGCTTAACAGGGATGGTGCTGATGTGATGAAGGGCACAGAAAAAAAAGTAAGGTACTCATTGCCTTCTTTGCCTTAAGTTTTCACTGGCAACATCTCCTCTCAGGTCTCCCACACTCCTCAGGCTAGACTCTGAGGGAAAGAAATACTCCTCATGTCAGAGGAAGACCAAATTAGGGACAAACTGCACATATAAGCTGGGCAGTACGTACATCCAAGATTTAAAAGAGCTGACCAGTGTCACTCATCTTTGCAAGGCATTTGCTAAGTGAAGTAGCTTCCCAAAGACTGGAGAAAACCAAATGTCACATAGCCTAACCTCAGCCCTTGGGAAAATTATGCAACAATTCCTCCTGGAAGCAATTTCCAAGTACATGAAGGACAAGGTGACTAAGAAAAGCCAGCATAGATTTAGCATGAGCATATACTGCCTGACCAACTTAATTGCTTTTGGTGGTGAGATGACTGGCTCAGCAGACAAGAGGAGAGTAGTGGATGTTGTTTACCTTGACTATTTTTCTATGTTGTCTTCCAAAGCAGCCTTGAAGCTATAGTGGGGAAATAAGGGATCTAGAGGAATAGATTACAATGCAAATGAAAAACAGGCTGGATCATCGAGCCCAAAAAATAACAACCAACTATTCAAAGTCAAAATGGTGGCCAGTTATAAGTGGTATCCCTCCATGATCAATATATTTTAATATTTTCATTAATGATGGAACAAACTACAGGCTTTAAGCAAATTCTCAGTTAACATCAGGTTCAAATGTACAGCTGGAGGGAAAGATTTGCCATTCAGAGGCATCTTAACAAGCTGTAACAATGGTCTGACAAACCTCATCAAGCTCAACAAAGTCAAATGCAAAATTCACAGCTGGGACAGAATAATGCTATGCAGTACTGCCAGCCAATGCGCAGATGGCGAGGCACCAACTCTCCTACCAAGACATGGGTTCCTGATGGAAGGACAACAGCAAGTTGAATGTAAGTCAGCAAGGAGCTCTGGCAGTTACAAATACTAGAGGGCTGCACCAGCAAGAATAGACTGAGAGAAGTGGCTTTTGAGTACCTGCACTTAAAAACTGCATCTGGAGTACTGTGTCCGATTTTGGATCCCCTCAGTTCAAGACAAATACTGATAAACCAAAGATAAGATGGTTAGGGAGTCCAGTACACATGATAATCAAGGAAAACTGGGTTTATACAGCCTTGAGAAAAGAGGGGAAGAGGGGAAGGGGGCCCAGTTACTCCTTCACACTACTTAAAGGCTGGTTCTAGAAAATATGGAGTGACTATGTTCCTGAAGAGGTTCCAATATTCCTACTCATTTGAACTATAGTTAGAGTTCAGCAGTGTACATTTCCAAAACATGTGGCTATGTAGGACTTTAAAGCCACTATACACCACAGCTAAGACATTCACAGGGTTACTTCAAGTTGTCAGAGGCAGACATTATCTTACATGCATCTGTACTCTTGGTTCACATGAATTGAAACAGTCTTTCTGAATATTCCTTAGCACATCACACTCTCACACAAGTATTGCCTGGAAACGGGACAGCCAGGACTATGTCCCCTGCCAGCCTGTTATCAGTTTTGCAATGACTACAAACGGCCACAGACGCAAATGTAGTTGTACACTTTTCATGACCACCAAACATTGCATCACACAGCACTGGAATTTTGCCCTGGCTGCCACTTAACCACACTGTCATCTGATGTCCCTTGCTTCCCTTCAAAGGTATCTATTTAAGTGAAAAAATACTGCTTTTTTTTTGAAACAGCAAAATATAGAAATAAGGAGTTGTGCATTTTTTAAGCTCCTTGACAGATTTCAGTATTTCTAGAAATGCTTAGGTGCTAACTCAAGACAAAGGTTGGATTGTTCCCCAGCACTCATTCCAAGTAAACTGTGGATATTCTGTCAACATTATCAGGAATGAGGGGTCAGTGTCATAATACACTCAGTAAAAAAACCTGCATACTGAGCTACACAGGACACAGTCTGAAAAAGACATCATGTTAATCATGTTCAAAACCTGTATTTATCAGGATGAATTTACTGTCTATCTCACTTGCTGTTAAGCCAGAAAACAGGAGGGAAAAAGAGAAACAGGGGGAATAAAGCCAGACTACTGACTCATCAGGCATATGAAAGGTAACTGGAATAGCTAAACACTCCACATTCATTCCTCTTGATGTACAGGAGACCCTCTTATTTGCACTTGCTCAGAGCTACTTCTTCTGAACATTTCTATTTATTCCTTTTCCAAAGGGAAAGTCAACTGTCAGTGTGCCTCTAACATGCACAAACCTAAAGGAAGGAGACTTCTCAGTAGCATACAGCTACATGGCTTGGTTCTTAGTAGGGTGATACCCCTCAGGTTGTTTCCTCCATTCCCACAGTATTTATTACTTTTCTTCATGTGGTTTCTTACAAGGCCCCTTGAGATCGATAGAGATTTTTAGGTAACAGTGACTTATGAAGGAACTCATAATGCAAGTCTGACAAAGGCTTCTCACTCACAAATCAGCTTCAAATGTACAGTGAAGTCAAGTATAAAGCTCACTTTCATCATGAAATTTATTCCTGTGATATGTGGGTTAGTATTTTGCTGGCAACTCCATCACAGCAAGAGCGGAACTGTTCACATGAGGTAGCGGGTTGTACTTACCAAGGCACTTCTTTTTCACTCTTTCCAGCTCATCCTTTCTTCTGGCTGAGATGGCAAGCAAGGCTCCTATCTTTGATAGCTGGTAGGCCAATTCTTCTCCAATTCCACTTGAAGCTCCTGTCACCCAGACAACCTTGCCACGCAGTTCATCTTCTACCAAAAGAACCAAGACAGCAGTTTACATATTGCCAATGCTACGACAAGCTTTTAAGTCACTGCAGGGATATAATCTGATACTGGTTTTCAGAATATTTTTTTTTACTATTGCAAAGTCCTGACTTCTTTATTTTTCACTCATGTGCAGTTGTGAAATCATTCATAGCTTTTCTGTTGCCACTTGAACTTTGCTCCAAGGCTAATCTGAATAAACACTGATTATCTACCTGACGGAAGAAATGTGATTGCATTTCTGCAAGCCATCTACACATAGCATTTCCACTAACCTCATCAAAAAGAGACTCAGAGGAAAATGGAGAAGAGAATTCTTGGAAATTACAGGAAACAAGTGATTGTGTTGCAAATCCATATAAAAGCCTAAGCAAACCTTTCCTAATAATGTTTCATCTCAAAAATGTTTCTAAGTAATTGTCAACAGAAGGAAATTCTCGGAACAGACAGCTAATCATAACAAATCAAATGGGTGTTCATCCATTCTGCTTTCTATCTGATGCATGTTAATCCCTGCATTGGCCAGAGTACAGTACACAGAGTTCCCAAGGTGTAGGCTCATGTGTGAATCTCCCAGGTACTCATAGTTCCTGCCCAGACATGCTTTCTCAACCTGTAGTAAAAAGAATGGCATCTTGCTCCTTTTACCACTCTGCTTATATGGCTGTTTCCCATTGTGTGTAAGCATCCCTTCTCCATGAAACACCTGGGTACTGGGAAAAGGCTTAGTTCTCCAGACATATATCCAAAATCAGGAAATACAACAGGTGGGTGAAAATCACCCATTTAATTCTAGGACATGATTTTTGGATGGATGAATGATCACTAGTACCAGAGCACTTTCCAGAACATAGCATTGCCTAACATTTCTAAACTCAGAGGACTGCTGACAGGAGCTCCTCCTTCTGTTACTCAAGTTTGTACAGAAGAGCATTCCAACAATCTCTAGCCAACCAAAAAAGATTTCACAGTATAATTCAAATAGCAGAGTCAAATGCAATTCCTGAGACTTAAAGCCAGTTCTATCCTGAAAAAAAAAAAAAAAAAAAAGACAGAATAGCATTTTTCAACTCACTGAAACTTACCCACTCATTTAACTTAGCAAAGTACTTCTGTTCCACTGCAGCCAGTTGCTGGGACTGCTTTTGCTTCCTGCTTACCTCAGCAATCATTTCCTCGTTCTCTCTACACCATTTTGTGTTTCAGATTTCTACTTTCAGGCTCTTAATGACATCAACCCCATAATGAGATCAGCACCAAAACCTTGACCCTTCTGGCAAGAGCAGAGAGCACTCACGACTGATGATCAGAGCTCAGCTTGAGTCCTTGGGACTGGGAGTAAGCATTATTTGTTTGGGTTTTTTTAGCCTAACTATATTTTAGTCAAAGAAAAAATTCCTAGACTGAAGTTTGGTGCTTTTGTGTTGTTTGCTTTTTTCTTTTGCTTTTAAAAACCAGTATCAACAACAGCAACGACAGTCACTTTCCAAAGCAGATATGTATTCTAGGTTATGAACTTGGGAGGTAGAAAGTGATGTTGCTGAAGTTGTAGGGATAACCACTGTATTAACAGTTATACCAAATGGCTGCAATCTGTAAAGCTTATTCACACATTCTCCTGCAGTTTTATTCCAATACTTTTACAATTCATTACCTGTACCCATGTCTCCTATTCCTTTTTTTTTTTGGCAGAAAAACCATGTAGACAAACACTGCATGAACAAACACAGACATGGACATACTTCCAGCCCTGCTTACCACACTCCTCTCTTCTTGCTACTGAAAACAAATCCGTTTTCTCCCACCACTCAATTTCCCTGTTCCCAACCTGTCTTGGGCACCTCCACTGCAGTTATTCAGGATCTTGTTCTGTGGATAAAATAATTAACTGAGATAAGGAAAGTTTTCTGCTGATTCCCCAGTGCTGCCAGTCACCAAGCACTCGAGCTACTGGGAGTTAACAGAATGGAAAACCTAGCTTAAATGTTGTTGTAGAACAAGTACCAAACCACCAGCTTGCTCTAGAATAAATATCCTGTTATTACCGGAAGTAAGTTTAAAAATTAACAATTACAATTAAAAAATAAAAGCAGATTATTCCGTTACTAACCATTAACTACTGTGTTACAAGGCGTAACAAATGAGAGGTTGAACAGAGTAGTAGTGCAAGTCATCCAAAGAGTGCTTCTGTAGGTTTTTTGCTACTTAGGTTTTTTTCCAATATTTTATAGCTCTGACAGCACAAGGTTGCAGTGTCACTTCATTCATGGAATAAAAATGTGGGTGGAGAGGTTTAAAGCAAAACATCCTCCCCACAGCCCTGAAAAACCACACCATTAGTCCCAGCTTTAAGATACATGGGCTTTCATACATGAAAGGGTCCTCCTTAGCTGGGTGCTAGCAGGCTGCGAGGAGCACTGTGTTCAGAGGGACTGCTGCTCAGCTAATGAAACACAATGCTCAAGGAAGCTCATCCAGCACGCACTGACCCTTGTCTCCCTATCACACAAACATTTAGAAAATGGGAAACAATCCAGCACCTGCCAATGACAAAATCCAGAAGTGAATTCTCCCTAGAGAACTGAATCATTTAAATGGAACTGGTCTTACCTATATTAAGGATTTTGTTTATAGTTATAACTTAGTTTATAGTTTTACAGCACAAGAGAAAGAAACATACAAGATCAGTCTGCTTTCTGATCTCATCTAAATCTACCTTCTTTCAGCTTAAAACCATTCCCCCTTGTCCTATCACTCCATGTCCCAGTTAAAAGCCTCTACCCAGCTTTCCTGTAGCTCCTTCAGATACTGGAAGGCCACTGTAGGGTCTCCCTGGAGCCTTCTCTTCTCCAGGCTGAACACCCTAACTCTCTAAGCCTGTCTCCAGTGCCAAAGTGCTCCAAGTGGTGAAACACTGGCCCAGGTTGCCCAGGGAAGCTGTGGCTGTCCCATCCCTGGAAGTGTTCAAGCCCAGGTTGGATGGGGCTTGGAGCAACCTAGTCTGGTGGGAGATGTCCCTGCCCATGTAGGGGGCTTGGAACTAGATGATCTTTAAGGTCCTTTCCAACCAAAACCATTCTACAGTTCTATGATTCTGTCTCCGAAAACATTGACATCCGTAATAATGCCATAGAAGCAATAACACAATATAATGACTGCAACAGTGACAGCTTTGTAACAATTTTAAATACAAATCAAGGGTTTTTTCCATGGGATCCCCACCTATGCACACTACATTATGTGCTCAATATGGGGATGAGGAAGAGAAAAGGGAGGAACATAAGAGAAAAGGGAGAAGTGACATCATCAGTCAACCAGGGAAGACCTATGGATGTCATCTATCTGGACTTCTGCAAGGCCTCTGACACGGTCACCCCCAACATCCTCCTATCTAATTTGAAAGGATATGGGCCTGATGGATGGACTGTGCAGTGGATAAGAAACTGGCTGATGGTCACACCCAGAAGGTAGTGGTCAATGTATCGATGACCAGATGGAAAACGGAGACAAGTGGTTTCCCTCAGGGGTCCATAATGGGACAAGTATTGTTTAATATCTTCATTAATTATATTGACAGTGGCACTGAGCACCCTCAGCAAGTTTGCTGATGACACCAAGCTGGGTGGGGAGGTCCGTATGCCAGAGGGACGGGATGCCATCCAGAGGGACCTGGACAAGCTGGAGAAGTGGGCTCCAATGAACCTCATGAAGTTTAACAAGGCCAAGTGCAGGGTCCTGCACCTGGGCCAGGGCAACCAGAGATATGAACACAGCCTGGGGGAAGCCATGCTAGAGACCAGCCCTGGGGAGAAAGACCTGGTGGTGCTAGTGAATCTAAAGCTGGACAGAAGCCATCAATGTGCAACTGCAGCCCAGAAGGCCAACTGAATCCTGGGCTGCATCAAAAGAAGTGTGGCCAGCAGATCAAGAGAGGAGATTCTGCCCCTCTGCTCTGCCCTGGTGAGACCCCACCTGCAGTGCTGTGTGCAGCTCTGGAGCCCCTAAAACAGGAAGGACGTGGACCTGTTGGAGCAAGTCCAGAGGAGGGCCATGAAAATGATCTGAGGGCTGGAGCAGCTCTACTACAAAGACAGGCTGAGGGAGTTGGGGTTGTTCAGCCTGGAGAAGAGAAGGCTCCATGGGGACCTTATTGTGCCCTTCCAATACCTGAAAGGAGCCTAAACAAGGCTGGGGAGGAGCTGTTCACTGGGGCATGTAACGACATAAGAAGGGATAATGTTTTTAAGCTAGAGAAAGGTAGATTTAAGCTGGACATTAGGAACAAGTTCTTTAATATGAGGGTGGTGGATCAGTGGAACAGGTTGCCTAGAGAGGTGATGGGGACCCCATCCCTGGAGACATTCAAGGTCAGGCTTGATGGGGCTCTGAGCAATCTGGTCTTGCATGAGATGTCCCTGCTTATTGTAGGGGAGATGACCTTTAGAGGTCCTTTCCAACCCGGGACATTCTATGATTCTGTATTTAAAGAAACATGTTTTCTAGTGTTTGGCACTTCTGTTTTCCTACTTGAACAGTTAGGATCAGCACCATGGCACCACCATCCCACAGTAAAATGCCACTCAAATACTAGAGTTTCAGGCACTTATTTTGGTTAGTTATAAGCACTAAGGCTGGGAGATGGGATGGGCAGGCAAAACACAGCTAACTTCTTTACAGGGCAAAGGAACTTGAGTTCACAAAATTCTGCCTGTTTCTTCTTACATTATATGTTGAAGCAGCTACATCAGAAAATGACTAATGTTCTTCATATGGAAACTTCAAGAGACTAGTTAAAAGGTTTTCAGGCTTCCAACAAGGCCAAAGGCTACATTCAAATAACATTCAAATACGTCTATCTGAGAGCTCCTACATCTTGATGTGCAGTGCACACAGATCCCTCAAGACAAAGCTTCAATTCTGTTTGTATTAGTCAAGATCTATCTGATTTCTCTGCCCTGAGTCTTTCCACGATCTTTGCAGCCCACACATCAAGCTTTTTTATAGTTTTCTTATAGTAAGGGATGGAGTAACTACAAAATTCTGGGCTACATATCTAGAGTTACAGAAGATTGCTCACACAGATTTAAATGTATTATTTCTTAGACCTTTATCACTTCTGCATGCTTTTCAGTTCTCCATTATATGGACTACCATTTTTGCAATAAGCTTCTACTGAAAGCAGAAAACGGAGAGGTCTCAGCAACTTTGTCCTACTCTTCCCTCAAGCCCTTCCTAATGCCAACCCTCACCCATGAGACCGTTCCCTGCCAAATCATCATCTCAAGCCCAAACCCTTGCTCCACCATTCCCAGGCACGCATTAGGGATCCATCTCCATGCAGTCTTGTCTCCCTATCTCAATGCAATATCGAGCTCCATTTTCCACACGAGACAAGTTTACAGTGTCCTTTGCCCCTTGAACCTTTGCACCCACAGGTGCCAAGAGCAGCACTTCACAAAAGTGCTGTGAAGCCACGGACAGCAACCACCTTTCAGGCACCATTCTCAGAGGAGGAAACCCATTTAATCCAAACATTTAATATTCTTGTTTACTAGTTTCAGCACTACTACAGCTGAAACCTGCCTGAAGATGTCAGAACAAACTGTAACAAAAGGAAAAACACACTACAAAGCAACTCACAGCGGCCACACGTGCCAAGCTTCCCCTTTTCTTCCCGACCCTTACTTCAATCCTCCTGGGACTTGGAGCTCTCCTGGCAGCCTGGGCTATCCCACACCCCAGTGCAGAACCAGACACTGCCCAGAAACAATGCAAAACAACTGGTTTGGGGCCAAACGATCCAGCACTTGCTGGAGCTCCCTGTCACCGCAACGCTGCTTTCAGACAGGTTCACTTTATGGACAGGAGAGGGGCAACAAATGCCCTGCTGGTTCCAGGCGGGGAAACGATGCCTCGGGGGTTATTTTTATTGATCACAGAATCACAGAAAGCCAAGTCGAAAGAGACCTCAAGGGTCACTTGGTCCAACCTTAGGGTTAGGGGCACGGTTTAGACGAGCTGGCCCAGCACCCTTGTCAAGCTGAGAGTTAAAAGCCCCTTCCAAGGAACCACCTTCCACCCAGCTGGATCCCCCACGCTGAGGCGGCTCCAGCCCCTTCCCCGCAGGCCCCTCACAGGCCTCCGTGCCCCTTTCCCCCCAAACCCGGGACCCCCCGCGGCCCCTCCCCGGGGCTCTGCTGGCTGTTTTTACCTGGCTTCTTCC